TGTGTGATGTACCATACTAAATTATGGATGCAACTGAGAAGAATGAGAGAAGAATGGACATTTCAGAACACTGGCTAAGAAGGAGCCATTTTAAAAGAACAAGTGGATAATTCATGCTTTCCAGTCAGGACTGTGTCTCGGTGCTGTATCCTTTCACTATATCTATTCAGTCTGTCAGCTGAGCAAATAACCTGAGAAGCTGGACTACGTGAAGGAGAATTCAGCATCAGGATTGGAGAACGACTCCCTAACTACTGCCTGTGATATGAAGATGACATAACCTCACTTGCTGAATATAAAGAACTCTTGAAATTTAAAGACTAGACTTTAGTATGGATTAGACTTCAACAAAGAGGAAGCAAAAGTGCTCACAACTGGTGAGACTGTAAAACGGTACAACCACTCTGAAGGGCAGTTTGGCGCTTCCTCAAAAGGCTGATCATACTGTATTGAAACAGATGAGGGAAAGAACAGATTAGAGGTGATATATGATTGAGTATTATAGTTAACACAGGAATCCAGAATTAAGGTTGCATAGAGAAGTGTACTCGGGGTGGGGAATTGTATACCAATGAAGGAATTTTTTTTTCTTCTTTTTCTTTTCAGAGAGGGGAGCGAACTGGTGGGGAGGGGTGGGCAGGGAGAAAAGTGTGGCAATGAATGAATAGAAATAAAAAATATCTGTAAATGTTTATTAAAATTAATGGAAAAGAAAAAAAGCTGATCATAGAAATTCCATATGACCCAGCTATTCCACAGCTTGGAATATACTCCAAGAAAATGAAAACGGTGGCTCAAATGGAGACTTGTAAACCAGTGTTAATAGCACAGTTATACACCATCCAAGAACATGGAAACAGCCCATATGTCCAACCACAAAGGAATGGATTGAGAAATTATGGTACATTCACACAATGGAATATTACGCGGCATGCAGGAGCAATGATTTTGTAAATTATTATGTAACTTGGGAGGGACTGGAGAGCATTATGCTGAGTGAACTAACTCAGTTCCACAAGGACAAGTAATGTATAAAACCATTATTGTAGAATGAATATGAGGATCAAAGGGAGTAGGGGTGGAAGCTGAGAGGTGAGAATGTGTGGGGCAGGGGGAGGGGTGGTTAATCATGGGGTTGTACAGTTTGATGGGTGGAAGTGAGAGAAATTGGAAGAATTTGGTGTGAAAAACAATGTATTTTAATTTTGTAAATAAACTAGTATTTTAAAAAGTGCTCACAATCAGATCAGTAAGCAAAATGATGATATACAGAGAAAGGATTAAAAATTCCTTTCTTCATGACAATTGCATTTTAATGGAGAGCTGTTATGGAGAATAGTAGCCATGAACTACTTCTGCTCCAAACCTTGTTTGGAGGGTATAGTGAAGGGTTCACAAATGCAGTTAATGTTTGCATTTCAAAAAAAATTTTCATAGTATCTTGTGGAATTTCAGACATATGCTGCTGTTGTTGTTGTTGTTGTTGTTGTGAAGTGCCATCGAGTCACAGGCGACTCATAGTGACCCTATGAAGGAGAGTTCTCGACACTTGGGTGCCTTTCATCCTCTCTCCAGGTTCATAGGGTTTCCGGAGGCAAGCTTTTATGGAAGTGGATGCCACTCCTCCTTCCAAGCTTGTTTTAATCAGGGAGCTCCACCCCACTCTTCAGACATAATAGCGATGGCATATAACAACAACAATGGCTGATAAATGGTTTCTTACCAAATAAAAAAACAAGATTCCTTACACAAATCACAAATACTGAATGTGATGACCATTTTTTTAAAAGGTACCCTTAGATAATATTTAAAAGATAAGCTTTCAACTTATATTTTTATTGCTATTAATAGAAAGGAGTATTAATAACTTTAAGAACTTTAATATTTCATTACAATTATTCCTTATTTTTTAATACCTTGAAACCACTACAACTTTGTCATGTCCATTTCTCTGATGGTGCCATCTTTTGTGTTTTTCTTTTACCACCTGGCCCTTCTCAGTAAGCTCATCCACACTCTGCATCTTTTTCTCATCTGTTTTGCTGGCTTGCTCCCAGCATCCTTAGGTATAGTTTTGGTCAATGTAAATACACAGTTGCTTTAACTTGGGCTTTTAACCTTTTTTTGTTTATTATGCAATAACATGGCTGTCTAACTATTCCCTTCTTGAATGTTTACTGCTGACTATGAAATGGAAGCAGAGTTATTGAACAGTCTCTCAAACAAATTTTGAACAACTGGCAAAAAGTCACACAAAAGTATAGTGCTACCTATGCAGTGATAATTACATTGAATATCTCTTGAATTATTAAGTCAAAATCCATTCTCTTCAATGTTCTTTCATTATGTATTTTACTGATACCTAGCTATTGAGAAGAATATGAAACACTGCTGTCTCTGGACTTACAGAGGAACAATCTATACAAATAAACTTCAGCGTTATTATCACATTTAGTACCACCAGATCATGACAATAAAATAAGTACCATAATAAAGCCAGACATACAATTTTTTTGTTTCCCAATGCATGTATGTTTACATTATAGTCTACTGTGTGCAACAACATTCTGATATGACTTGAACTACTGTGAAAATTAACAAAATAAGACACAGAGCTATGAAATGAGCAAATGCTATTGGAAAAATGAGACTTGCTTAACCTAGAGTTGCCATAAACCTTAATTTGTACAGAAAACAAAGGTTGTATCTAGGAAGCTTGATAAAGGAAGTGCAAAAAAATGAGGTGTACCAGTACAAGACTTCATCAAGCAAATGTTAAAGAGATGCTTAATATTCAAGCAAACATTAAAGAGATGTCTAATATTATTCATGTCTCAAAAGCTGGTTTTTTTGCTGAAACCATTCTAACATGGGAGCTCTAGTGGCTTAATACTCAGATGCTTGGCAGGAGAAAGAGGGCTAATCTCCTGTCATGTGATTTATTGCCTCTGAAAACCCACTGGAGGGTCAGTTAGGGACCAGTTCTGAATTGACAGTATATAACAACAACATCAACATTCTAACACACTTTGGGCATATTCTCAGGATGAACCAAACCAGTCACAATGCTAGGAAAGGTGGAGTTTCCGTGAAAGAGAAGAAGATCTTCCACCAGACGGCCTGACACAGTGAATGTAACAGACTCTGTAAGAGATCACGAGGATGGTAGAGGACAGGGTAAGGTTCAGATCTGGTGTCCACAGGGTATCTCTGTGCTGTAATCGACTCTATTGCACATAACTCCACCATTCAGCAGTTACTCCATCGCCTCATTTTCAGGACACTGATACAAACATCAACATTTCATCTAAAAAACCTAATTTGGTAGAAAGATAATCCTATGTCAAAATAAAAAAGGAAGGATGGTACTGAACAAAAGAGGACACACAGAGATTATTCAAAGACTCAAGACATGAAAACTGATTCTTAGTTGCTCTTGTAAAAACAAAGCAAAAATAGAAAATAATCTCTTTCATTTCATCAACGTGAATTTTAAAAAGTAGCAGATAACAGGAATGTCTTCCTTGTACATTCTCTTTTGAGGTAGAGATGTGAATTTTCTGTTGATCTTAGAAATGTTAGCTCATAAAGATGATGCTAATAGTTCCACAAGGAAGGTGGGGAACCCAAAACAACTAATAAAAAAGAATTGTTTGTATTTATTACTAGGCTAAGAAAATCTAAATAGTTAAAAGTATAAACAAATGCTACTTTATCCCTGAGGTTATTAAAAAACTAATTAAAGATATGCTTTTCATGAACACGAGAAACTTCTTTTTCTCCAAAGGGAAATTCAGAAAAGGTTAATAGACAAAGACCTTGGTACAGTCCCAGGAACATTTAGATGTGGAGTAAATTATGCAAGAAAATTGTTTTTACAGAAATTTGTTATGCACTGGTAAGTCCAAGCCAACCATGTAGTATATAAGAAAGGAAGGTATGAAAATGCATGCATGATTTCTCAAGTCATTTTTGCTGAATTACTTTCTCTAGGCTTGGCAGTGGTAATATGAACATACTTGCTTCTCATCATAAATGTATTTTATTTTTAAGTAGCAGATCTGTTTTTAAAAACCACTTTTCATTAATTTTTTTGCCACCAGACATCTCACTTTCACTTTTGATTAACTTCAAATGAATGGAATCCTCCTCCCCACGCCCACTGGATAGGTAATTGGTAATCTGTTGACATGAGGTCACTGTAAACTCCCATGGGAGGTACTGACACAGTGACAACAACAATCAACTTGACTTTCCAGAAGCTGTGACCCTGTGTTGGAGCCCACTTAGCAGAACTAATGACAACTCAGGCTGCAGGGCTCCTACCTGTATAACACAGCATTAATATCTTTGTTCTAAAAGGGCATTTGGGGATTTCTTACATCTCCTCTGATATATTTATCTGTTCTGCACATCTGAGCTTTTACACAGTGAACTTTAACTTCCTATGCAGGACACTCCTCCTTTGTGATGATAAATTTGGTAGTGGCAAGAAGCTCAACATTTCCATACCTTCAAGGGATGGTAAAAAGAAGCTCAAAAGCAAATTAAAAGAGAATGTCATCAGTCATAAAAAGGTTTAAATATAAGACAGTGTTTCACTTCTCCATGGTAATTCTTTTTTTTATTTTTTTAAGTTAATCAGGCTGAGCTATCGCTGATGTGACACTGAAGAACGACTGAAGGCAGGAGACTTTCTAGAAAGTACTGTAGAGCCCAAGCCTGGCTCTCCCTTCCCAGAAGCCCTCAGGGGTTTGCCCTCTTGCTCCTGCCTCCAGAGTCAAGCCCCAGTGTCAGCAATGTCTTTTCCTTGAGTCAGAGAATGGCCCCTGCTCCCACCTGCCCTTCTCTGGAGGCTTCCTTCCTTCCTTCTATTCCTGTTCCTTGCAAAGGTCACCTCCAAAGAGGATCACAAATTAACAGTTCCTGTCATGTAAACATCCACTAACCAAGCATATGATACAGAACAAGCAGCTGGATCTGTTCACAGCAATACTTACTGCAAAGTCACAGCCGGTGCTCTTCTTTATGTCATCCACTGTCAGGCCCTCCCAGAGTTCAATCAGAGTCAGCCCTTTCTTCTTGTCCACGTCAAACACAGCCTGCAGCAGGAGGAGAAAGAAGGGGGGAGAAGGCAATTTCTATAACAAACCAGAAATAACTTCTCAAGTTCTAACAGGAGACACCAGACCCAAGACAAAAGGTTCTGAAAGCTGGCAGTTAAGAAATGCCAATGGTTAACTATTCCATTTTGGTGAGAATAACTGACAGTTCCCTAACCAGCTGCTAGTTATGCAACACTGCTGATGCTAGGAAATAAATGAGTAGTGGCTATTCATGGAATTTACTATTACTGTAATACATTTTGTTTGTTTTAAAATGATTTGCCTATTTGTTGTCTAACATGTTTAGTCAAAATAGAAATTAGATAATTAAATAATGATTTCAAGAAAGAAAAGAAGGGCTGGGTAAAATGGGAAAGGGATTTAAATTGTGACAAGCAGAGATGACCAGAGAAGTTGATAAATGTTGCTGTCAGGTTCCTGTTAAAGCTTCCCTGTAAGTCCAAGGAAAATGGGCAGGTCTTCAAAGATCCCATGAAGAATGCAATTTATATGAAGCTGCTTCTGGTTAGGACAAGCAAACATCAAAGACAACATCCCAACATTCTCCGGGGAGCAGCAGTGCCAATGACAGAGCTTGAATCCACCAAATAGACTCAGCCTATTGTATCTGATTGAAAACACATGCTTCCCACATAAAAAAACAAAACAAAAAAAAAAACACATGACCTCTTCAGTAGAAGGTACCACAAGGTCATTTAACATAAGTTCCTCCTTATTTTTCTCTTAATTTTTCTCAGATGGCCAGCCAGTCCCTTGTTTCAATGCACACTTGTCCCAAGATAAGAAATCCCATCAGCACCACAACTGCTTTCCTCTGACTTGACTTCCCAGGTCTGAGAGGTGCCTTCAAGTGTCCTCCTTCTCAGCTCCTGTGGCCTATTTCCTCTTCTCAAAAACAAAACCCCCCCTCTATCTCAAAGCCACTGATGCGCTGCGGCTCACAGTTGTCCCATACTGGGTTTCTGAGGCTGTAAATTCCTCGGAAGAAAACTGCACATCTTTCACCCACAGAGAGGCTATGGATTTGAACCTCCAGGGAAGTGGGCCCTTGGGTTACCAGCACCAAATCCCTATAGACTGTGCCACCAGAACTCTCTTGCTCAGACTTAAACATCATGCTTCGCAGATCTATCCTCTTTTCTAGATTTACCTTCATCTACTATTTATAAGTTTTGAATATTTTTAGTTTTTCTGTGTGGATCATAACAAACTGTGGCTGACTCTGAGAAGAATGGGAATCCAAGAAAACTTGATCGTGCTAATGCGAAACCTATACTTGGACCAAGAGGCAGTCATCAGAACAGAGCAAGGAAACACTGCATGGTTCAAAATTGGGAAGAATGGGAATCCAAGAAAACTTGATCGTGCTAATGCGAAACCTATACTTGGACCAAGAGGCAGTCATCAGAACAGAGCAAGGGAACACTGCATGGTTCAAAATTGGGAAGAGCATATGCCAGGGATGTGTCCTGTCTCCAGACCTTTTCAACCTATATGCAGAGCAGATTATCCAGGAGGCTGGGCTCTATGAGGAGAAATGTGGGGTCAAGATTGGTGGACGATTTATCAACAATCTACGTTATGCAGATGACACAACCCTGCTTGCTGAAACTGAGGAGGACCTGATACACTTGATGCAGAGGGTCAAGGACTACAGCCTCCAATATGGTTGAAGCTCAACGTCAAGAAGACAAATATTCTCACCACTGGACCAATTGGCAGCATCAGGATGGATGGTGAAGAGACTGAAATTGTTCACAGCTTTAGTTTGCTTGGCTCCACAGTCAGCATTCTTGACACCAGTAGCCAGGAAATTAAAAGGCGTATTGCCATGGGAAAGTCTGCTGTAAGGGACCTCTCCAAAATACTGAAGAACAGTGGTGTCTCTTTGGAGACTAAGATGAGTCTGATACAGGCCATGGTCTTTGCTATCACTTGTTATACATCAGAGAGTTGGCCAATGACTTAAGGAGGATAGAAGGAGAATTGATGACTTTGAGCTGTGGTGCTGGAGAAGAGTATTGAATGTACCATGGACTGCTAGGAAAACAAACAGATTCATCCTGGAAAGGGTTAAATCAAGGATTATGAGGCTCCATCTAACATTCTTTGGACATGTTATAAGAAGGGACAGGTCCTTGGAGAGGGACATCATGCTTGGGAGGGTGAAGGGACAGCACAGGAGGGGAAGACCCTCTACGAGATGGATTGATTCAGTGACTGGGGTAATCGGGATGGGTGTGTCAGAGGCAGTGCGACTGGCACAGGACAGAGCAGAGTTTAGAGCTGTTGTACATAGGGTCGCTATGAGTTGAAAGGGACTCGATGGCACATAAGAACAACAACAAGAAATCAGATGGAAAAATGCCATCTCCATATTCATTCGTGCTTAGGAGATGAATATCAAGACAGAGCAAAGTGTAGAGGAAGGAATCCTGGCATTGAAGCTGGTATTTCAGCCCTGTAATGTGCTAACTGCAAATTTTGGTGGCCCTACATATCTACAGACGGATATCAAAGAAAGCCACTTTCCAAGATGGTAAGTGAATCAAACACACAGTGCAGTGTCATACACAGAAGAGGGACATAGCACTCATTCACTTTCCTCAGTGGCTTCACTTCCTGTCATTTCTGCGTGAACGTAAATCGAATCCTCAAAACACTTCTTTCCTCTAGGGGTTTCAGGCTTTTCCTCTCTAGTCAAACATCCTCTCTTGTTTGACAAATTCACTGATAACGCAGTTGATGTGACAGGAAAAGAGGCTTTCCATTTAAGAGGAAATATTTTGAGAGACATATTTTTTTGGTCCACACATCTTATTTCTAAAACAAACAAATAAACAAACAAGCATTCCAAACCAAAAAAGATCTCTTCTTTCCCCCTCTTCCCAGCAGGAGTATCTGTTCGAGGAGAAGGGGGGGGGAAGCATGCAGAAATATTTGAATATTAGATTGTTGTTGTTGTTGTT